CTTCATTGTTGCCAGTAACAGTTCCAGAATTTCCATGAAGAACTACACTGGTCAGAGTACTTTTCATCTCTTATTGTTCTCCCTGGAAATGAAACAAAGATGTTGGCTGCAAGTGCCCACTTAGGGGAAGACTGCCATCTCCTACAGCTCTCAGCGAAGCTGCTTCCTTATCTCCTTTCAGCACAAGAGACCATCAGCTAAGGGCAATGCAAAAAATAAAAATAATATTGAAGGCAATGGCATTTCTAAAGGAGGGCAATTCCTCCTAAGCTTTTCAGACAAGCGAGTCTTTTATATTTCAGCCTTTCTAGAAATATTTCTGATTCCTCTGTTTAGGACCCACTTGTCTTCTTAGCACAGGGATATTCCTGATATGCCTATGAGGAATTTGAAGGACTTAAAAGGTAGGATTGTGCAGGAGATTAGGGTAAAATAAGATCGCTCTGTGGAAACATGTTGTAAGACACTAAGGAAATAGACCACTTTTTTTTTTTCCTTTTTTTTTTTTTTTTTTTTTTTTTTTTTTTTTTTTTACAGGTAGATATCATTGTTTTGCAGCAAGAATGTAATACAGAACACATGAAACTGTTAACAATAATTCTGTATCAGCTTTTATTTTTTTAGCAAAGATGACCTCAGAGAACCTTAATCTTTTCTCTAAAGCACTATACTGTAAGCCAAGACAATTGAACCCTTTTAGTAGGGATGCTGGGCACTCGAGACAAACTCTCAAGGGCTATTATCTCTGATACCATCAAACACACTATAATTTGTGCTGTGTATAGCAGTTTTGAAATGTGTCATAGAGACAGGATGATTCATACTTTTTATTTTTCCTGACAATAGATGTTAATATTTTCTGGTATTTAGAGTGCCAGCTTTCTGACAACCTACATTGCGTTTTGGGGTTGGCTTTTTGTTGTTATCTGAAAAACTAAATTGTATGACTTGGTACAAAACAAAGCCTATCACCTGACTATCACTTCTGTCCCCTTTTCTTCCTATGGATACTCATAAAAAGTGAATAACTTGTGGCAAGGCAATCATAGAATCATAGAATGAAATCTGGGGGATAAGGAAGGTGAGAGAGAAAACAGGAAAAGTTAAGATCATGAAAACATTTTGATTTCAGTGTGAACAGAGAACTTTGCTGATGATGTCCTCTGGATAGAATCTATGAATTTGTGGCCATTAAAAACCCACTTCATTCCAGATATTCACATTTAATCTCAACTATGCAAGTATCACATCGAAGTTAAATCATGAAATAATACAAAATCTTCCCTTGTCATCTCACCTCAGAATATTCAAAATTAGTTCTGAAATTGACAGAACAATAGCTGAAAGTTTGGTAGAAGTTTTGGTAGAAATTTCCAGAGAAACAAGATAGAATTCCTGTGAATTTTCCCCAGACTTGCATATTTAACTTCAGAATGCCCTTGAAAGCCTCATACAAAGTTTCTAGATAGCACTGAGCACTAAGATAAATAAACAGATCATAGGATTCCAGCCTTAGTTCTGCTCTTTTTAAAAATATTTCACCCTTGTTTGAAAGCAGAAATATGAATGCCTAGGTGTTTGGCTCTGAAGCATATAGTTTTTTGGAGCACTATTGAAGAGCAACAGAATATAAAGGTTCATACAAAGGAAAAAGTATCAAAATGTGACATTTGTCATAATGAGGCAGCAGCATGGCTTATTACAAAGCAGAACACAGAGAAGGCAGAATCACAATTATCTTCAGAACTGCAGCACAGTCCCATACACCACAAAGAAACTGGACCACAAAGCTTCCTGGGACATGCTACGAGCATGTTGGAAAAAACAGGGACAACGAAACAGCAGAACTACCATGCTTGATACCAGAGTCAATACTGCTTTACTGTTCATACTTTCCCTGCAGAAAATATCTAGGAGTAAGTAGCCCCTCTGAGGTTTTCAAACTGTTACTATGCTAAAAGAAAGCCATTTTTCAACATCCAAAGCAAAACAGTTCTTTGCAGTTTCTTTTTGCTCACTCTTTCCTTTCTCCAACATCACATTGCAATAGTAGTTAACAAACCATCACGTCTCCACCTATCAGTAGGTGGAGTACATAATCAGAAATAGGAATGCTGTATAGCTCCACCTACCAGAAGTAGGACATTTATCAGTATAAGACTAAATACACCCATATTTCCAGTAATGGATTTTCACAATAAATATACAACAGTTTAAAAAACAATAGATTTTGTTTCTCCTTGAGTAAGGAAAAGATGTAGAATTCGAGAACAATTATTACAAATGTATCTAACTAAAAGCTGTCACATTTCTAAAAACAAGGTTAAATCATTAAATAAGACAAAGGAAAGACCTATATGATACCAAGCTTGATACTTCTTGCACTGTAGGGAACTTCTCACTAAAGCGTAAAATTCCCATAAAGATAGCAGTGAGTTAAGCACTAAAGTTTTTCAGTTCAGCTGCCTGTGCACAACAATCAAACAGAGGAAAAAGCAGATTAGTAAGATCTGGGAGACCGATGAATACTCCATGGCTACATATATGAAAAGGAATCACTACAGACTGCACAAAAAGCCCCTTACACAATCCCTGGACATGTGAAAAACAACTAAAGAAGTTGTAACCTATGTAAAGAGTGTCCTTCTGGACAGAAGACATGGGTCTGTCCATAAAAGCCACAACAATGCAAGTATAGGTTGAACCTTCCCACCAATATCCAGTTCCACGTTGTTGCCATGTGACAGATGGCAGCAGAGGAGCAGCCTAACAAAAATGGCATCTGATGTAGAAGCGTGTATGAAACAAAGGTGTGTCACTGGATTCCTCTAAGTGGGAAAAAATGATACCTACTGGCATTCATAGACTCTTGCTCAACGTTTATGTACATCAGACAGTGGATGTGAACGCAGTGAGCTTACGAAGTTGTCATTCTGGCCTATGAAGCTAGAAGTTCTGCAATTTTTTTCTGACAGTCACCTACCTGCTGGAAAGTGCCCACATGCCTTTACAGGCAACACTGATATTATTGGTAACCTGTGTCTGCAAACAAACTTATCTGCAGCATGCATCATACACATTCTCTGATACTAGCAGCATAAGGAAGAGTTTCTTTATGCTCCATTCATATTTTTTCTTTTAGCATCACCTCTGCGGCGAAAGTTTAATCTTGGTTCCCACAATAACTGCTGCTATTTGTGGTACTATGGTACCCCTATCTGACTCATTCTGCATTAAAAAAGGACAAAATCCCTCAGTCAATAACTCTTGCATCAGGCTGAGCTGCTTGCTCTTGAGGCAGCTCTTCTTTTAGAAAGATAAGCAGTTTTGATCAAAGACTTCCACTAATGGAAAATCTATCATATTCCCTGAATGATGCATTCCAATAATAAAATACTTTGGCTTCTTAAAATGTGCATCATCTTTCCTGATCAAATTCTCTGACTTTCAGCCTCAGGATCTTGTTATGTTTTGTCTCCATGATAAATGAATCCCCAATACCAAGCATCTACTCTGTGTGCAGCGTCTGTCAGCCTCTATGATAAAGAAAATGAAACAGAATAAAACAGAAGTTAAAAGAAAGCCCCCATATGAATTTAAGACTGACTCAATGTTTTTAAACAAAAGATGTTTGTGTCTTGCCTCAGAAATAAAATTGAATTCTTCCACCTTAAGTCCTACAGCAAAAGAATCTTCAAGGTCAAGAACCGAGGGTCAGATTCAAAAACAAGTGAAGAGTCCTCACCAGTACCCCCACTACTCCTCCACCAAAGAAAAAAAAAATTAGGACCTAACTCAAGTTAAAGTTCCCCCACATCCTTCCTAGTCTGAGATACACCTAACCCAGATGACTGAAAGACTTCTACGCACACATACAAGGGCAAATCCTTCCTGGAATACAGCTTTAAAAACAACAAATTATGCCTCTAATGTTCTTTCACAGTTATAACGTAGATACACAGCACTTTTAGCTAAGCAATTACCGTGCAAGTAGATAAGCATGGTGAGTTTCAATCAACATTAAAGGAAGCCACACTAGTGACCAAGGAGATACATACCCACAACATTTTCCCAGGCAAAAAAACTGACAATTTATCAACACAGCAGCATTACTAATTGTAACAAAGGAAAGCACAGCAACAACAGCAAAACAGCAGGGTCCCAGGCTGCAGCAAGTGAGGGTTTGCTCAAGTGCAACTGCCATGGGCACAAAAATAAAGGAAAAAAAAAAGCAGTTTACCTTTGGAGGGCCTCAGTTGTACAGGGATCTTCAGTGAGATACCCTTACCTCCACTGCCAACCCTTAAATGAGGTCTGGGAAGGAAGGAGTGGATCCTGGCTCCAGCCCTCCCAGCCACTCAAGTACATTGAATGCACCTGAGCTCCCCTGGGTTGGCCCTGCCTTCCACCAGGTGTTCAATCACTGCTTCAAGCTGTGACTTGCATTTCTGCTACACTGACTCTTAACCCCAGGGAAAAAAAAAGAAATGTGTCTCAGGAATACCTGGAAAACACAAGAAAAAGGAAACATCTTCTGATCTAATCCTGATTACTATTCACCTTTTATACTCAGCAACAGACCTTGGACAGAACATGACATCTCAGACACTAGAACAAAGCATGAAGCTGGACCAAAACCATACCCATCTAGACCAGACAATGAAAATAAAATAGCTCTTTAATTGCAGCTGATCCTGAAACAGATGTAGAACCATTCTTGCTGAGGACAACAATACAAAAACATGATGTGATATGAGAGAAACAAGTAAAATTGGCAATTCTGGTCAATCTTCACAGTGGTAAAGGGAGAGTGGGAAAATTAAGTCAGATTGCTATTCCAAGTTAACCCATGGTTTTGGATATGATCACTTGTCAAGTCCTGCCCATACACCACTGTAGGAATATATTGCTTAGGTCAAGAAACAGCCATATCTTCTGCCTTTTGTCTCCTCTTGGAAAAATAGCCCAGGCCTCTTTGCTGTAAACATTATTCAATATCAAAGCATTTAAAAAGGTTTCTTTTATTAGGGAAGTAACAAAACAGCATTAGTACATCAATGCTCAAGAGTAAACAATAAAATTTAATTGTTCAGTATCTAGATATCTGAAATTTTAGTCATAGCTTTCTTTGTGTACATCCATATTCTAACAGGCTCAATGCAAGTAAAGTTAATGTCTTGCACATACAAACATACATATGCATCTCAATATGAATTACTTTATATTAGTCAGCCCATACAGAGACCGTGCAGCCAACAACACTTCCAATTGTCATGCATAATTTTTATGACCAGTTAGGGCCAAAGAGGAGGGGTAGGGGACAAAATAGAGAGATGTGAGCAGAGAAAACAAGCAAGTGAAATCACTGATCAAAGACTGGTTATTGTCTCCAGGTCTTCAAGTCAAAAGCTAACCTTTAAGAGACAGCATCTGCACTATTGTTTAGAAAAGTCTATTGCTTAGCTGGAAACAGCTTCTAGAACTGCTTTTAAACAAGGATGGCTGGGCAATAAGACATAGCTGTTGAAGAAAAATATTCAAAATGTTCCAGAGGACTTTTGAAAGAAGTAGACTAATACATCCTTATCAGATAATGCTGGGCTTACCTAGGCTACCCTGCAGGCAAATGCCTTCTTATTGTGGTGGTTTGTTAAAACAGTTGCTACGCTGTTCAGGTCTGCCCCTTGAGAAGCCTGTCTGGTGGCTACACTTTAGAGCAGAGATACCACAGATGCCTGAATTCCAACATACTTACTACACATTCCTATCTAGCATGAAAGGTACTATAGCATGTGAGTTGATATATAAGCGGAATTATACTTCTACAACAGTGAAAGTAATTAGGTCTCCCTCTGTGGGGACTGATGCAGGGAGAGTAAAGCTCTTTAATTTTGGTACAGCATTTCTCTGTGTGTAGCCTTTGTTTTCAGACACGTTCTCAATTAAGAAAATCCATTAGGTAGTAACATGTTAGGTATCAGACGTACTTTGAAGTTCAACTCTAACAACAAACACTGTTAACGAAATCAAATTATACTCTAAGAATTTAAACAAAAACTGTCTAGAAGAGCTGTTTTTTATAACAAAAAGTGAAAATAAGGACACTTTGTAAAGAAAGATAGTCAAAAGTATAACCAAGTTTCAGTACACTGAACATTTAGTAAGGAAATTTATGAAGTCCCTAGATTTCTTCATATCAATTTAACATAGTTCAATATGTTAGAGTAGAAAATCCATTCAAATGACCAGGTAGCTATGGCTGACCACATTGTGAATGTCAGTTCATTGACTCAATGAACTATTGGTATTTTCAGTTTAGGCAAGCCATTAAAGAAAAACAAGATTATTACTTAATTACCTCCTCAGTTCCTGGTACAAATATGATAATTTTATGAACCAAGTACAGTATGTATTTTCTGCATTTACTTTCTTAGCTACACGAGATATACTTGAGTCCGAGAACCAATTTTAATACAGAAACTACGCAATTAAATGTAATTTGCAAATAGCAGAAAGAAATAGCCAAAATGCACGTGAGGGTTTTAGGGAGTTGCAGGAGAACAGTAAAGGGTGTAAGCATGTGACATTCCACAGTAATGAGGCAGGCTGGCTGGGTGCCTGTCAGCCACTAGAACTGCACCCTGCAAGAATTCAGCTGCAAATCTTTGTTTCCTTTATCTCTTTCATATCTCTGCAAGTCTCAAGGGAAAAGGCAAAGACTTTGTCTTTCAGCTGGAGTTCTTTCATCCAAGAACGCTCTTCATCCAAGGCCAAAGGTTCACCATATCCTAAAAGGGCCTTTGGATCTGCATGTTCAGTCATCTTCATCCAAATGCATTTCTTTGGGAACATTATTCGGTCCTTGTGGTCGATCCTAAAAGAACACCGATAAAAACTATCTTCATTCCTTCAAATACAATCTTCAATGGCTTTATCTTTAGGACCACTGTATGAGAGCATTGTTTCAAAGGTGCAAAATGGTAAATGACTTATTTCAATTAAAACTATAGCATATTGAACCACTTCTACAGTTCTGGGCTTTGGTCAGAGTTTTAGATATAAAGCCTTCCAAGATGAAAAAGACTTTCTGGAAAACCACACAAATGACCACAATATTTCCAGTGTGCTGGCAGCATTGTTTAAAAAGTGCATAGCTAGTGTTTTTTCATGTGCTAAAAAATATGAAATATCACCCTACAGATATGCTACACTACTACAAAAGATTTTGAGCATAATAATCTAGAATATGAATAGGTTCCTGTACCCAACTTAAGTTACCTTACCAGACAAAATGCAAGCAACCTTTCCTCTGTGAGGAAAAAAGACAGTTATGGTACCTGAGAATTTACAACATGAAGAAAAAACTGCAATTGCAATCAGCGATTACACATATGCACACACAAAAAAGTGTAACATTCACCCATCAGTATTCTACACCTACACTGCTTATATTTTTTTCCATTCCATGTTTCTCTAAATAAAGCCTTCCAATTATTTCTTTGCTCATTTCATTTCCTTCTCCCCAACCTTCCCTGAGCTAAACACTCACTTATTTCTTTCTTCCATCTGTCCAAATTCCTTATCTCCTTTTACTCTTTAGGTTGTCTCTCCCTGCAGTACGTACTATTCTCCATGAGTCCCGTTAATTTTAGTCTTCATCTTTCTCCTTCTGCATCATTCTAAACTATTTCCACCTTCCCAGTCTCTACCAGCTGTTGGCCTCCCACCCCTTCCCACCTGCTATTTCACCATCCTGCCAAACACCTGATTCAGATGAACTATTTCTAGAACAAGAGGGCAATCCTGTCTTGCTCTAATAGTACAGCAAAGAAAAACTACAAGGAAGTGGATCTTCAGCAATCACTTAGAAAAACACTATGTGAATCCTTCTCTGCAAGTAGGGCTGCCAATTCTCATTATTTCATTACAACACTTGAACGAATTTTATTGCTACTATAACTGCTGCTTCTGAAAGAAATGTGCTTTTTTAAAGGAAAACAAAAGCACCTCAAAAGAAAGTTTCAAGGTCTGTCGGACTGAAGAAAAGCATGAAACATGATCCTGTCTCAGCTTCGTGAATCACAGATGAGAAAGGCTATAATTCAACCCTGATAATTTATAGTATTATGATTTTTTAAGCTAGCAATGAAACTGTTGGCATTCTGACTCACAGCTTTTTAGGGACAGACATAACATGATCTGAATTAAAGCACGCGACAGCAGCTTCAATCCATGCCTGACTTTGAACTGCACAGGGTGAGCAGTACTGACTGGGTGGTTTGAAGATTAGAGAAAGGAAGGAAAAAGGGACAGCTGCTTTCAAACAGTCACATGAATATTATGAAAGCATCACCCGTTATCCAAAATTTGTAAACCCAGGCAGTAATATTTTCTTGATAGTTTCTACTCAATTTTGGCTGGAAATGACCAGAAGTGACAAGTGTCTGGCACTTTGCAGATTTCAGATCATTAAGAATCAAAGGAAAAGCTCAGCTTTCCTCCTCAGTCTGAGACAGTTCTTCCTCCCAAAAGCCATTTCTTGATCTCACTTTAGAAGTGGTTGCCCCCATTATGGGAAATGGACAGATCAGGTAAAGGATACGAGGATTACTTTTTCCTGAGGTCGAATGTAATCAATACCCTCCTTAACTGATCTTAAGAGAGATGATTTGGAAGGAAAAGGCTTATGGTTTTTTGTTGTTGTTTTATAACTCAGCTTCCAGAAAATTTTTAATTTCTGTTTTATGTTTTCTATAATTAACATAGTTAAATAATCTCCTTGATTCCTCTATGGTTCTATTTATTTTCAGTTTAAGAGTAGGAAGGATTAAAATGAGTACAAAGGATTTGTTGTTTATTTTCCAACAGAAATGATGCTTCTCTGCCCCCACCTAAGCTCCCATAACTCGGTCAGTTACTTCAAGGAAATATTACTCTATCAGTTCTGTGCTGAAGTGAATTTAAAGACAATGAAGGGCAGAAATCAAATCCTTTATAACATTAACTTTTTTGAAAGATGTTAACAGGACATACATGGCTCAAAGAAAAGTTTCCTATTGACTCTCTTCTGCCTTCAAGGCTTGATGAAAGCAGATCTGACTTTAAATCTGATAAGACTTGGATGGGATTTGCCTTGTACAAATCTCTAAGCTTCAAAGTTTACTAATTCTTTGAAGTGTCTTCTATTCTTTAGCTTTTTTTTGTGTGTAAACTAGATTTCCGTACTCTAGTCAATGCATAATTTTATCTGAAAGGGGCGAGCGACGTAAGTTATCATGTACCTTTTTGTTAACATCAAACTTGTCATCACAAGTGTAAAATAAAAGCAATTAAGGCAGAGTACCTACAGGCTGCAGATGACTGACTGAAGTCAAAATGGGAGAGACCTCTCAGGTAAAAAATGTCATACCTATCAGATTTTGAACCTCATATATTCTATAATTAAGGATCATTTTCTGGATACTCAGGCTTTCCCAGATTTACGAACAGGTCTAAGATATTGTGGTCTGTCTTGGCACCTGATGGTAAGCAGATCTTAGCTCTCTGCTGACTCCTCCTGAAAAGTGCAATACAAGAACATTATTGTCAGGGAGTGAACCTGGTGCTCGTTCAGTGTTCTCTACGTAGTGGTGAAAAACTATGAAATACCATGAAGTGCTTGGAAGCATTCATGAACTATTTTCTCAGTGCTCAGTTCTCAGCACTAAAGCTAGCTGTGGGTCAAGCCAATGCTAAGACAAATCTAAGCTTTGCAGCTGTTGAAATACTTAAGCCATATCAGATCTTAGAGCGATGTCATAGCAATGCAGTTATTGCTTGCCTGCCATGGGATCTGCTGATGGCAGTTGAGGTTCTTATTCATCAAGGGGCCCAAATAATTGAAACAATCCATCTGCTCTATGCACTCCCTTTCTGTCTCTGCTGTGATTTCTTACAGCCTTGTGATATTTGCCAGTGATGTCATATTTAATCAAGCAGTTGGTGGCCTGTTTGATCTCTGGAGAGCCATGGTGTACTCCTGTGATGCTGCATAGGTAACTAAAATAATCCACCTGTTCCAGGCCTTTCCCTTGAAAAACCCAACAGGACATGATATTTGGCAGTGACTGTCATAACTGATCAAGCAATTGCCAGACTCATGCATATTTCCTGAAAGCTGCTGCTGTTTTTCATCATGAATTTCAGATAATTGAAATAATTGTCCTGCTCTAGGGCCCTGCTTTGACTCCAGCACTTTCTGCAATGGGACATTTGCCTATTGTCATCTTTCTTTAAGAGCTGCTGCAGGAAGAGGCTTTGATTATTTTTTCACAAGATGTCATAATACTGCAAAGGAAAGTGACATTATTCACTTAGTTTGTGTGACTGAATTTCCAGACACTACTGCTCTCTGTGCTCACACCGTGACTCACAGCAGATGCATTACGCTGCATCAGTCTCAGTGGTGGAAAGGTGCAGGGAGAGGAGTGAGGGAAAACATGCAAGAGCACTGTAACCAGGTTGATAGTGGGAGTCCTATTACCGTTTTTGTATAATGAGCACTAAGTAATTTCAACACTCCAGTGCTCTCTTTGTTAAAGGGACATATAGTAAGCTTTATTTCAGCAGATATGGAGACTACAAATATTTTACAGCAGACCTAGTACCCTGCCTTAGACTATTCACCGTGTACAGTTAAAGGACACACTTGCCTGTTGATTGATGTAAAGATTTTAGAATAGTCCAACTAAGCGTACTCACCATAAAAAGCCTTTGTGTGTTCATCTGCTATTGTGGGAATAGGGGCATAGATCTTACTTGTAGTCAGATTATATTGCTCAATTTTATTTGAGAAGTACAGAAATACCACATTCACCCACTAGATTACATCCCACTCCTGAATTTACTGTCTTCATCTCAAGGATGGATGTTCAGTCGTGTTCATTACTCTGCTTAGCGTCTGAGCAGGTCACAGACTGGCTGTCAGTGACTGTAAAAGTCTGGCATATCTGAAATAATCTTGCAAGTGTCAGTCAGTTTCCCAGCACTTTCATTAAAATCTCACATTTCTGTTGCAGTACTTTTTTTTTTTTTCTTTTTTTTACTTTGATATTTTGCCCTACACAAAGCCCAGGACACAGAAAAACATTCTTTTATTTTTAAAAGACCTCTTCTCAGATAGTATCCACCTCTAATAACATCCAACCATCCAACTTCTCTGAAGCCTAAGGTTTTCTTTATACGTACCTTTTTTAGCTCCTTATCTTCACACAGCAAAAAATTGACTAAGGAAAAATGCTGATTTTAAAGGGGGAAAGCAGCTGCCAAATCTTACACAGGTACAGTTAGGAACAATATCAGTGACATTATTATTTTTTAGATATTTGGTTGAAAATGAAACAAATTTATAAGCAAGAAGATCTGTTAAGAAGAAAACTGTTTACAAGGAAACTACATGATGGAAGAAATACATTTTCCTTATCTGACATCAAAGTTGGTTTGATACAAGTTTTCATTAGAATAATGAAAACAAAAGCCCACATCCTTTCTACTAATTGTCTCTTGATTAGAAAGAGTGTTAGTTTAAAGATATATGAACTGAAGTCTTGATACCCAGAAGAGATTTATGTTTGTCAAAAACAAATCTCTAACTTATGTACCAGGACAGCAGTCATTAGAAGGCCTTTTGTCAAGAAAAGCTTGACCTACTCTTCCCTATGGGGATTTCTAACCTTTGGGTTAAGTTCTGACCTTGGGTCCTAGTGGAATTGTAACATCTGCAGGCCAACTATTTCAGCATTACTCACAAGATTTCTCCCCTAAACTGTGAAATATCTTTTAATTATAAGAAACTAACCTGAGAGTAGTAGAGGAAAGCTTATGTAGCAAGACTTGATTCGCTACTGATGACTGTTTGTCAGTGAATGACTACTAGAGGAGGGAATCAGCCTTTTGATGAAATAGATTTTTTTAAATAAAAAAACATATACAAGTGATGACTAAATGTAGAGAAATTCAGAGGAGTGACTTTATTTACAGATAATTGCCCCTGGTTAACAAAAGAGAAGAGTGCTACAGCTTTTTGTCATCAATTAGATGTAGTTATGCATCATTAATTATGGTGGCATGCCAACAAGAAGTCAGACAACACAATATAAATGAGGGAGAAAGTATTCCTATAGCCTGACAATGTTATTGTTAAAAAATAGTAAATGCTTATATAGCACACTCATGGGAGGAAATCATTCTTCATTTGGTCAGTTGAAAACCTGGAGTCCAATTCTAAACCCTGATTTAAAACCAAGAAGACTAAACAGAGCAAGGTGATGCAAACAGAGGAGGTACTGCAGACTTAATCACCTACAATTTAATGTCAGATGGGTTTGCACATGGCAATGACACCAGAAGACAATAACAGTTCCTGGGGGGTCAATAACAGCTTGACCACAGCAGTACTATTTAAAGTAGAAAGCCTAGATTTCTTTTTAGTATCACAATATACCACTGTAATTATAATTTTTATATAATACTTTCTGTAGTCACCAATCTGATTGCCTCCAATGCCAGCTCTTCTAGGAGGTAGTTGTCACTTCAGATACTGTGACTCAGTGGAAATAAACCTGTGCTTTACTTTGTTATTTGACCCATCAACAAGAAAAATGGAAACAGACTTTGTTCACTTTGGAAAAATATTTTTCCTTAAAATCACTTTCAAATAGATAGTTACTACTCCCCTCATTCCCTAGATTGCTTGATTCGGGTGGACTAACTTGTGAAATGGGAGCAAGCTTTGCAGCTCTGTAGGTATTTCAAACACCCTACATGATGGCAACTCTGCATGTAATACACAGTGTCTTTCCCCAGTCTTTTCAATTTTACTTAATAAGTTAGAAATACATGTACAGTCTCGAAGCCAAAAGCTTCTGGAGTAAACAGCACTCATTGTTCTAATGGCTGTCACTAATGGAGTCAGCATACCTCTCTGCCAGCAAGAGAG